ACACATTACCACTTGCAAACAGAGAAGTGAAATTTCAGCGCACAATGTATGTTGATGGTAGCCAAGAAAGGACAGGTTGGGTATTGCCTGCCACAGATGACTTAGTGGAATTTTGCAAACTCTTTGAACCTTGATAAAACACAATTTGATTTTTTATTAGACTCATAAACCTAATCCAGGTACATACTCAGGTATGGGTATTTCATCTGAAAAAAATCCAATTGTCCTTTTCTTCCTGCTTGTCAAAAGAAGAAAAGCACAAGGGTTTTAGATTGCAGTTTTAATGAGGACTTTCCTTCTTGCCATGCACCCAATATTATTAAATAACTTCTTTATGAGGATACATATTTTGCAGGTTTTAGATGAATATAAATTGAAATTTTATAGGCTGCAGAGAAAAGTAGAAATTTGGGAAAAAAACCATGCGATGATAAACATGTTAATTCCTTGTTTTGCAAACAGCATTATTCCTGAATTGCTGACAGGTATTTCGAACTGAAACAGCACATCCAGGAGTGGGAAACACCCACACCCACTGGGAGTGTGCTTCAATATTCACTCTAATAAGCGGACTATTAATTTTCCGAGGCCAAGAAGATACTTGGGTCCCGTGTCCTCTAGTTCACATTGCCCTCTAGTTCACATGCTTCTGTTAGTTACATATCCCATTTTTGGGCTTTCAGTCTGCATTAGTAATTACATTGTAACTAGACTAAAAATTGCACTGTTTTAATCAAATTTAACAGCTGTGTATAATACCACAATACAGTCAAGTGGTTAACTTCACTGGTTAAGAAACTGAGAAAAACTGTGTGAGGTAGAGCAACAATATTTATTTTGGCAAAGTTAAAGCAAGTATCCGGGCGAAGCGCTTCTTGTCTAGTCATGAACAGGCCTTTGGTGTTCCTTGACAAGCCTGGGATGATGTGTTTCCTTAGAATCATAGAATCACAGAATAGTTAGGGTTGGAAAGGACCTTAAGATTATCTAGTTACAACCCCCCTGCATGGGCAGGGACACCTCACACTAAATCATCTCACACAAGGCTTCGTCCAACCTGACCTTGAACACCGCCAGGGATGGAGCATTCACAACCTCCCTGGGCAACCCATTCCAGTGCCTCACCACCCTAACAGAAAGAATTTCTTCCTTATATCTAATCTAAACTTCCCCTGTTTAAGTTTTAACCCGTTACCCCTTGTCCTTCATATAATTTTTAGGTAGCATTTTTAGTGGAAGAATCATTGGAATTCTGCTGTAGGGAGAGACTAGATTTGGTCTGTAATAAAGTTAGATACTTTCTTAATCCAGAAGACTTTTTGTTATCAAAGATTTTAAAATGTTTTGTTATCAGTACAATGCAAATTTAAATTCAAAGTAAATGGCTCTTCTCTAACTTAAAATACCTGCCAGCAATTTAGGAATAGTGCTGTTTGCAAAACTGCAAATTAATATAATATTTATCATTACATTTTTTTTTTCCCAGATGTCTGTCCAGTGCTATCATCTACCCCAGTGTTAAAAAGATTTCCCTATGCCTGCTTGGGCAGGGGCTGGTGTACTCCAAACATGCCTACAATATGGTGAGTCACTGATGGTGTCACTGCTGATGTCACTTCACCCCTAAAACGACTGCCAGAGGGGTAGCAATGAAGGAAACACATCAGCCCAGGCTTGTCAAGGAACAGCACGTCATGACTAGACAAGAAGCACTTAGCCCAGACACTTGCTTTATGCTTTATGCTAGCACTGATCTAAGCCTCCTATGGAATTATTAAGATATGACATCCCAAAAAGAGAAAGCAAAGACTTCAGAGAATGCATTCATAAGGGAATCTGGAGAAAGAATTGAGTGCTTACTTGATGGGGCCAACAAATCCTTGGCTGTTAAGATGTGTCCTCATAGGCTTTTCTTTTTTGGTAAAAGGTGATTCTTTTGATCTCTTTATCAATCTAGAGTTTGGTGCTGAAAAGGTACTTTTGACATACACTTGTTTCTGAATTTAGGTCTGTTTCTAAGCAGAGCATACCCAGTCTGCAAGCTGTATGGGCATAGCCAGCTGGGAAGGTGACTTGCACGGTCTGAAATAAACCATCTGTGCACAGCATTTGTTATTAGCACCTACAAGCTGAGCATGCTAATCTATGCGTATCTCATAGAGTCAGTAAAGTCATTCAGGTGAGGCTGTCTTTTAGCAGGCATGCAGTAGTGGGCTCTTCTGTCACTCTTAGAGATGTTATTCATGCGCTGGTTCCTTGCTCACCGTCTCTTTAATGGTAGGTAGGATGTGCTTTTGTCTGGTGCTTTCAGTGGGTCTGCAGCTGATCTTTTAAACAGGGCTGTGATACAAGTGGCTTTTAGTATGTTTGTATTGAAAGAAATCAGTAAGATACATTCATATGCGAACTTCAGTACATCAATACTATTCACTTCAATTTCCCCTTTTCACTCATGCATGAGCAGAGGCTGCTCCCGAGGCACAGCTGTCAGGCACTGCTTTTTCCCCACTTGGCTCCCGCAGCCCAGAGCAGTACATCCACGCTCCCTCCATTACCACATCACCACCTGCTCTTTTTGGCTCCAACTGAAACTCACACCTACCATCCCATAAGGACTTAACTGGTGCTGAACTCACTATGTAAACAAGGGTGAGGAACCTGACAAAAGGGATGCAAGTGTAGTCACTCTTCCTTTCATGGTAGGTAATGTTGACCTCAAAAGTGCAAATAAAGGGAAACACAAGTCACAGAACTTATTTTTCTAGGCTGACCATGCTGCAACTCTTTCCACACCTTCCAGGTCAAATACTGCATGTTTCCTCATGGCTCTTCCCTTGTGCTAGTAAATAATTCCAACTTAGTGGGAAGGAAGCATGTTTTGGTTTCTTCTCCATTATCTGTATGGATGTGAACACAGTATTTTCCAGAGATGCTCCATTAACTAGCCCCAGATGTTAGATGATTCATCATGTTACAGAGCTTTCGTTTAGTGACTGTTGTATCTTCTATGTATTTTATCCCATTTTTACTTAATATTGTTTCTGTAACAGACCATAGTGAGTTGTAATGGTACAAAGATACATCATCACTATTGTAATGAAAAACACATATACATCTAACCCAAAAGTACAAATTAACTCTTTGCCCAAAAGATTTCTGAATTTAGAAGGAAGGTCTACTTTCAAAGCTGAGAATCAAACTTGTAATTTTAACTCCAGTGCAGAAACAAAATAGGGAAAAAAGAATTATTTGGAGCCCATGCTGGATAATTGGGAATGTATTAAGGGCAGCAGCTCCCGTAGTTATCTGCCTATCAGGAGAAAGTGATCACACAAGAGGGGTTTCTGAATGAGTGGCAACTCCTCCTGTAACAGTCCCTGAGAAAAACCCATGTGAGGCAGAGTGACTGTATTTATTTTGGCAAATCTGAGACTAGAATTTGTTTTGTTTTGTGTGTTTTATTCCCTTCATGGATCCAGATGCCAGAAGACAACTGAAATGAGCAAAGGAGATACTCATTACTGTAAGTTCTGTCTGCTACAATTGAGAACAGCTATCTGGAAATTATAAAGTACTGCAGGTTGCTCCAGGCCATAAATCCTAACCCAAAGTCACGTGCAAAGCCTTGGAAAATTAAAATGCTGCAATTCGGTCTAAGCAGTCAAAAAAACTCCACCCCAGCTGCTGAGTCACTCTGACTATACAGTACATCCTGTTGAAGAATATACTGCAGCACCCTGTGGAATATATCAGAGGAACAGCCAATTATTAAAGCACATGTGTAAATGAGTTTTGCCAACTCTTCAAACAAGCTTTAGAATTATTCATAGAATCATCTGGGATGGAAAAGACCTTTAAGATCATCAAATCCAACTGTTAACCTAACACTACCAAGTCCACCACTAAATGCCATGTCTATTCAAAATAAAGGATCTCATACTGAAAACCTCATTTTTAAAAAAAATGAAAAGCTATTTATGTGGCTGACTTGAGTCCATTTCAAAAGAAGCTATCCTAGTTCCCCTGCAAGACTTTGGAAATTACCCTGATGGATGCAAAGAACAATTAAACTGTTAGATCAGCAACTGATTAAAAAAACCAAACCCAACTAATGCTAGCTCATGTGTTAGTTTATATGAAAAGATTGTAATTATTACAATTATTGTCTGACAGAATATTGACTTCCAAGAAATATGTGAAGCACAAGCAGTGAGGCACTGTCCAAGGAAGTTGTGAATAGTGCATCCCTGGCAGTGCTCAAGGCCAGGCTGGACAGGGCCTTGAACAGCCTGGTCTAGTGTAAGGTATCCTTGCCCATTGCAGAGGGATTGGAACTAGATGAACTTTCAACCCTAACTCATTAATATTAGAAATATATCATAAAGTGGGGGAAACCAAAACCAACCAAAAAAACACACAACAAACACATCCAGCACCTTCTTTCTGCATTTTTTACAAGTGTCTTTATTTGGAATCCCAGCAGTCATCAAGAGTTGTCAGTCACTTTTAATTAAGGATTTACAGATGTATCTGGCTGGTGAAGAAACCCAAGTGGCAAGCACAAGCACCAGCTCACTGTTCATCCATGATGCTTAACCACTGTCGTAACTCTGATACTGTTTTGCAATAGGGTACTTGGCATGGATCAGAGAGAGGGTGACCCACCCAAGCCATGGCATGGATAAGGCTACTCCAGGTCTGGCTCCCTCCAGATCACACAATCCCATCAACTGCCCAGTAGGTTCAGCCCCTAGGACTCCCCCGTGTACCTTCCTTGACCCACCCAAGGGCACGCACTGCATATCCCCATGGGGGGTTGGGTCAAGGGCTATGCTGGGTACAATAACCAGGCTGCAACACATGGTGCCTGCTCTATCAGCACAGACACAACCAACATTAATTCTCTGTAAGCTTTTCATGTCTTCCCAGGGAAAACATTTTTAAAAATCTTCAAACATTATTAATTAGACTTTTGTGCATTTACAAGGGCATTTACACATTTACAAGTGTCCTTCCTTTTCCAGTAACTGGCTGTGGGTGCCCTGCTCAACCACTCTGCCATTCTGGATCACTGCAATGATGTCTGCAGTCTGTACGGTCGTCAGGCGCTGAGCAATGACGATGCAGGTTCGACCTTGCCGGGCGATATCCAGAGCTTTCTGAACAACTTGCACACAGATGTTGTGAAAATGCTGTTAGCACATAGATAGCCTTCACTTGTCATAGGAACCACACTTTATTTCTTACTCTTTGTTAGCACCTGAATGTATCTCCACAGATCTACAAGTCAGTGCATACGTGAGACCCTTACTCAACAGGATTTATCACTGAGACTGACCGAATAAGCATGAGATATTCAGAAGTGGGTTCTTGGGCGTCCAGTCTAGGTCAGAACACAAATACAGTATTTACCACCAAATACAGCCAATAGGAAGAATGCTGAGGAGTATCAGCTCCACACAGTGTTTTCTACTTAAAGTTTTGAGGGGTTCTACTTGTTTGCAGGTATGCATAGTTTCCTAGTGGTGTTCAATTCACAGCTTGCAGCTTGAAAAGCTACAGTGATGTTGTTTCACAGCTGAATATTTTTGCATTGATTTTATTCTACAGAAAGCAACTAGCCATGTACATAGATATAGATATATATTTCCATTAATAATTATTACTCACCTTTTCACTTTGTGTCAAGAGCAAAGGTAGCTTCATCCAGAAGCAAAATTGCAGGATTACAGAAACAGAGCATGGGCAATTGCTATTCTTTGCTTTTTGTCCCTCAGAAAGTTGTGTTCCTTTCTCACCCACAGGGTTATTATATCTCTGAATGTTAAAAATTCAAAAAAGAAGGCCTGTGAATAATCTTTGAGAAGGAAGATAAGAAAAGTTTTATGTGTGGTTACAAGAATGATTAGCTATTTCCATCTTGAAAGAGGAGAATAGTGCAAGTTTTAATGAAGCTAAGGTTTTATAAACAACTTTAGCATGAACAGTTATATGTACAACCACACATATTTATACCTGGCCTGAAAATGTACTTCTCCAAAGACTGGATTAGGTCTTGAATAAGTACCACCAGGGATACAGCACTGAGGTGTCCACACACATCTGGCCTATCATAAGTATATAGTCATAAGAGTAACTAGAGATTTCATGATTACTGACATGCACAGGAAGAAACTGATCCTGCAATACTTGGGAATAAAGTCATCAACGAAGATTAAATATTTTTCAGCATCATTACATCATTTTCGAGTTACACAGAACTACAGCAAAAACAATTGTAGCTTTTTCCTTGTTAGAACCAAATTCTTGGCAGGCATGAAGGTGAAATGCCATGTCATTTGCTTTTGATCTATTGCCCCTTCATATTTGTTGAGAAAAACTTTCTGTTCCTGCCCATCCAATTAGAAATAGAGCATTTAGTTTTACTGAATTATTTTAGAAAAAAAAAAACAAATAAACTGTCTTTCTTGGAGGAACTTGGGAAGTTTCTGTTCTCAAAGGAAAAAAATATATAAAATAAGAGGACTTGTATATAAAGTGTCCTCTTACTTCCTCCCCTCATATTCTGCTGTCACCACTATATTAATTGGAACAATCACTTTTTTTGAACATACTAAGAAGGTTTTTAAGCTTTAAACACACATTTTTAAAACTCTATACTTCCTCCTATGAAGGGAAACAAAGATGTCAAATTTCGTCTACTTAAGTTAGCATTACTTGAATTTCTCCACATGATTCCAAACATCTAATCTCATTGTAAAGAGAAGATCACCATCTCATTCTTTCAATGAAGCTATGAATATTTGCTGTTTTAGCTGCTTCTTCAACTTCGTCCTAACCACCCTACTGTTGTCTCCATATTGAATGTTTTCAGCAATGCTGCAGTCAAACAAAATGTGCCCCTGTGACACCAGGCCCAGTCTGGACCTCAGCCATTGTATATGAAAAGATCTGGTATCGAATCCATCTGCTATGCAGAAAAAACATCAGAAAAAATGATGCAAAGTTGACTAGGGAGCTTATCCACAGACAGTTGCTGTAAACAGGAAACACGAATTGTAAGAGGAAGCCTATCATATGTTAGATTCCCAGCTGAAACCAAGTAAATTTTGCATGCAAAATGGAAAAGAACCAACAGTATAGATGAAATATTTCCTTTCATTAGTTTTTAATTTTGTATGTGTGTTTGCTTCCATTTTCCAGCAGACAGAAGCAGAGGGCAGATCACAGGCTCTTCCTGCAGACCTTCCAGCCCTAATCACCACAAGAAGCACAGTGAACCTCATGGGAAAGCCTATCCTTAAGAAGCTTTAACACACCCAAAATATTTTCAGCTGTAGGCCTTTAACTCAAAACTGCCAAGGAGGCTTCTTTGGACTTTCTATACCCATTAGCAGGGATTGAATCAAAAGCCCATTGCTAACTTCTGACAGTGTTGCAGCAGCATCCCTGTAGGGTTATATTTGTGCTATGTGAAACATGTAGCTATGTCCCTAGCATGTGAATTCACAAGGACATGAAGACTTACACATCGACAAGCAAGTTACTTGAATGTTATGCCCCTATGTGACCAGAGTGAGCAGCTTTGGGGAGCAACAGTCTGACACAGTCATTCTCTTCCCCAGTGAGATCTGTGCCTTGAGCCAGCATGCTGTGCCAACATAGGTGCCAATGCTGGTACGTCTGGTGAGTTCACAGGGCAAGCAAGGAGAGGGGTCTTGAGGTTGTCTACAGCTCCACTAGAGCCACCATCTCAGTAACATGCACATCTGAAAAAGGCATCTTAACAGAGATATTGCCAGGACTGCTTAAAGCATCTGAAACCTTGGAAGATAAAGATTCTGTAGATATAATTGTGTTAATAGCCACACATGTCTACCTTTACCGCTTGTCCTTCCACAGGGTTATAAAATCTCTCTAAGAGCTGAATACATGTGCTTTTGCCACAGCTGCTACTTCCTACTAATGCCAGAGTCTGTCCTTTGTTATCCTTCACACTGAATCCTTGCAAGACTTGAACTTCTGGCCTTGCTGGGTATACAAAATGGACATTCCTGAATTCAATGTTGCCTTCAAAATTCCTCTGAAAAGTAATGGAGAGTTCACATATTCGTACTAGCACTTATTAGTTTTAACTATAATAAGATTTCGTTATTAAGGTGAGAGAACTGACAAGAAAGTTTGGGAGTGTGTTTTCAAAACTGCTTTTTAAGTTCTTTTAAATTACATATTGTATTGAGCACAGTATTATTTATGGGATGATCTTCAGATGGAAGTCGCTAGGTCCTTCTGCAGAAAAAGTTTTCTGCATCTCTTGTATCTATTTTTCACTTCACCTTTGAAAAGAATATCTTTAGGCAAATAAGCAATGTCAATATTCATAATTTCTGACATATAATTGAGGCACTTCTACTCTCAATCTATATTGATATAGACCAATAACAATCTAACATTTGCCTTCCTGATCTCACACTGCAGGTAGCACAATTGGAATGAATGGAACACAAGGTCAAGACCAGCTATTAAGATAGAGCTAAATAAATTCTTTGGTAAGTAATTTGCAGGCATGTAGGACAAGCTGTGTTTTAAAAATCAGTGATAATTGTTAATTAGCCATTCTAGCCAGGCTGACTTCTAAGCACAAGTGGAAGAAAGGGGTTACATATTAAGGCTATTGTCTCTTCCCTGGTGTTTGGGCTAAGAGCCAGCCCTATGTACATACTAGCAACACTGCTGCTACAGTGCTCTCACAGTAGCTGACAATCCAATTTAATGGGCTCAAACCTTTGCTTTGCTGAAGTCTCAGGCATCACTGGTATTAAAGTACAATCCATACTAGAAATATTTTAATTTAAGTCCTAATTTACTGGGTACCTTCTGCTAAGTTTTTCAACCTCTGTTCCAGAGGACCCTGGTTCAAGAAGATATGTAAGTATGTTCATAACTTTAAAGGCTGAAAATCCTGTGAATAAGCTTAAAGTATTCTATGATTCTATGGAACTGGATTATGGCTTCCTGAGTAGGCACTACCATCTAAAACCTACACAGAAAGTTAATTTTAAAGTAAGACGGATGTGCAAATGTAATCCTTTCACACCAGGTAAACTGAAAGCATTTCATGCAGAAATTTGGCAAATACTGAGGTGAGTTTCCTTAATGACAATTTTGGTGTAACGTGTTTTTTGTCATTTTTTTTTTTTGAGTGTGTTTTTTTTTTATCTTGTTCTTGGTTTTCATATTGCTGTTGTCCCCACTCTCTCCAACTTTAGAGCAAAATAGATTATTCATTAAGTTAGTTTTAACTTCACAAGAGCATATTTTTACTTGTTAATAATATGGTCCATTAAAAAACCAAAAAACATTCATGAGTCAGTACTACTACTTTATATGATGTCTATCTTTTGTGATACCCTAATATGAATACAATTGCAGACAATAAATATTACTAAATCAATTTTTTTCAATATTTTTCTTGGGAAAAAAAACCAAACCAACAAAAATCCCACAAAAAAGCAGCCAAAAACCAAGCCACAAAACAAAACCATCCCAAAACAAACAAAACCAAACCCTCAAGCCCCACCACCAAAACACATTCCCCCCCCCAAAAAAAAAACAAACCAAAACCCTCAAGCCAAAACACCCATCCTTACCAGTTTTTCACCTTCTTCACTGTAACTGTCCATTAGAGATTTTCTGTCCAAATGTTTAAAAATTCTTTGGGTTGGCAATTTAGCTTTGCCATAATCTGATGCTAGGGAAGTAGACTGACCAATGTTTATAGCTGCAGACATGATGGAAGAGTAGCCTCTAAAAAACAAAAGACAAAGCATCATTAGTTTCAGATAGGACAATGAACTGTTTTCCTCTTGTGCAAAACAAACCTTCAGAGTGAATGTTTTTAGCATCTTTAGATTATGACATTTCTAGAGCTCCTCACCCCCCAAAATGTCATCCAGTATTAGTAAGTTCTAGTTGTTCCTAGAACTACTTTATAGATGAGCAGTGGTGTCACACCACTTCTCTATGTAACACCCTCTGCCTGGAAGAAACATTAAATAGCAAATACTTCTACAGAGTAGGTGTGCTGAACTTGCTGCTCACTCCAGCTTCTCCACTGCCCATGCATTTGCTGTTTTACTGCCCAAATAAGCACCTTTCCCAAAAGAACCCTTCAGGCCAAACCACACTCCCAACCAGACAGAATTCCTGGATCTATATGCCCCGTTACCTCTGTAAAATGAGGAAACTGCATGCATTGAACTCACTATCCTACCCACCATTTATATATATATTTTTTTCATTTTATAAAGTATACTCACACAAATACATGTTCAAAGTCACTCAGACAATGGGCAGTGAGTCATGTCCCAAATCTGAAAATGGCTACTAGTCTGCAGACTGAGCCACTCCATAGGTAAATCCATATAAAGTAGCTTTTTTCAGAGCATCTCTGATAAAAGAAGAGACTTCTCATAAATAACTTGTAAAACAGAAACAAGAGACACCGGCCAGGGGGTGGCCAAATTTCTGGATTGAAGTTCTCATACAACACAGCTCACCCACCAAAAATACAACAGATCAACCCAGAACACAGGCAAACCCACAAGCAACACCACCCAGCCCGTAAAAGCCCACCACACTGTGACATGGAACTGCCCTGAAGACAGAAAGCAATGGGATTCTTCGTTCTCAGCTATGCTTGCCTGAATCCCTTCCTTTGCTTTTCCATAGCAGGGCCAGTCACTAGAGCAGTGCTTTTGTGTTTTTTTTTATTTGTTTGTTTACTTACCACATATGACCCATTTTAATTAGAAAGCAACAGGCTCCAGTCCAGCCTAAGAGCTGCCTGTGGGCATTTGCCAGTTCTTCCCATCCAAGCAGAGACCTCTTGTCCCAGTTCAGAGCAGGGACATACTGCTGGGTACCCCTGCAGAGATTCAGACTAAGCCTCTATTTCTCAATCTGTGCTCGTGGAGAAGTTTCATTTTGTGCACACTTAATCAGAGTCTGGAAGACTCTCTGCCCTCATGGTTTATGGTGCTCTCTGAGGAAATAGGAACACCTTTCTAGTCCAAGCTGTAAATCAGAGACCTTTGACAGTCCTGCCTATATCTGGGGTATTACCAGTTCATCAGACACTGAATTTTAACACTGTTTTGGCCAAGGACAGATTATGCAATACACTATTTTCAATTCCTTCTTTTACATTAGTTACATTGAAGCAGGAAACAAATTACATTTGGGGCTGTTCTGTTCAAATAAAATGGAGTTACAAAAATCCAGCACCCTTGATGATTTGAATGTGTTTCAGTGAAGACAAGTCAGTGGAATGTAGCAGGTCAAACATGGGAAACACACGAACTTCTTTCAAGGTTTCAAAGTCATGAGAGGAATAAACTGATTTATGTTACAAAGGGCGTGGTATGGGAGTTAGCTAGTATCAATGAACTCTACTGGAGTGAACGTATGTACTATACCCTAGGCACACAAACCCAAAATATTGTCTTTACACATATGCAGAGAATGCAGTTTATAAGGTGCTTGCATAATGAAAAGGCAAATCTTGTAAATGTTGTTTCACTCCGCATTTAAGAACGTATATTGAAATATACCAAGTGAACAAATTTCTAAACTATGTAAACAATTGCTGATACCCTTCCCAATCTTTTGGATGTTGGATAGTTTGCAAGAAATGTATTTACAATAAATCTGAAAGGCCAAAATGTACAAAGAAAGAACTATTAAAGAAAAAAACATCCCACCTATATGGACCATTCAAACTGGCAACGCATCTTTCATAAAATACTTCTTTGGTCCGTGAAGTTCTTATGTTTTCAACTGTTTCCGTTGAAATCTAAATTGGAACATAAAACAAACAGGAGGCAATCCCTTACAACTGCAATCTATAACATACCTCCTAAACACTCAAATCTCTTTTCTAGCATTTATTATTTTAGCTCAGAATGTGCTTGCTTTAAAGAAGAGCCGGAGGTCTATCGCCAGTGAAGGGAACCTCACAATAATGAAATTATTCACCCCATGGTCAGAAGACAAGGCTGGGCTGAAGCCAAAAATACAGTTGAGTTCAGAACCTTGGGCTAGCACGCAGCAAGTGTCAGCAGTCCCCACCCAAACCTGTGGGCTGTGATCTCAATGAATTAAACCTCTAATAAAATAGGATCAAACCCCAGTCGTTTGGACAGTTTGCACTTTTACATGGACTACTTCTGTCTCCTGGAAGAGTGCTATCAGTTAAATAAAGGCAGTACCCTCAAAACCTTCAGCACATTAGTGGTTTGGCATTCCATCATAAAATGCAGTGTCAGGGCTTGGTGGCTCAGCTCTGGAACACTTCGGGCCCCAACATAGATCAGTGCAGAGCTATGCTGCTCACCCTAGGCATGAGGCGCACCAGTGCTGCGGCTACTGCTGTTACAGCTATCCCTGCTCAGAAATTTCTATGCGGGCTTTCAAATGCATTTTTATAGCCTAATTTACAGATGGTTTGTGTTATCTATGTTTTGCTTTTCTTGGGGATGTGTAAACATTCCCTTCATCCCCCACTCTGTCCTGAAATCTCCCCCTTCATCTATCTTGGATAATTGAGTCAGTTGTAATGTAGCTACAATGTTATCCTTAAAAGTGATCTCACACCAGGTTAAAGCAGTCTAAACAGTTGGTCATGACAGCTACTTAATGAAATATGTATCTGGGACTTTTCACGCGATAGAAGGCATAGAAGACTGTCACAGTAGAGCAGGTTGGCAATTGGGTACCCAGCATTAGGTAAAAGGGGCTTGAAGATGCTTAGTTCCAACCCCCATGCCATGGGCAGGGACACCTTCCACTAGACCAGGTCGCCCCAAGCCCCATCGAACCTGGCCTTGAACACTGCCACAGATGCAGCAGCCACAGCTTCTCTGGGCAGTCTGTGCTAGTGCCTCATTCGTTGACTTGTCCCATTAACGCTGCTGGAAGCTATTCATCCTCAGGTTCTCACAGTGCTGCACCTGGGGTTTGGCTCTCCGAATAAAACCCTGCATTTGACCACCCTGAAGAAATGCTTTATCTCTGTGGGATAATGAGCAGGAAAGATGAACTCATACTGAAGAAATAACTGTCTCCTCCAGCCTGTGTAACATTTCCATAAAAAAATTTTAAAATGAGAGATGATTAGCATCCAGCACCAGGGTGAGCTCTGATCTGCAGAAAAAAAAAGCTGAAAACAGCCCTGTGGAAACAGTTCATCTTCCAAAATTTGGCTGGACAAAAATCCTTGGGCGGGAAGCAAAAAATTCTTCTCTATTTTGCCAAAGACCTTCCTGCCATGAAAAATAGTAATAATTAAACAAATGACAAAGTGAATTGTTGTTGAATGTTTTAGGGGCTGCACATGAATACGGATTTGGAAACTTCAGCCAGTGCAGCATGAGGTATGGTACTTACTTATTGACACTCTGTAGTGCTCCAGACAGCACAGTAGCTTTGGAAACCAGTTTGTGCCCTTAGCTGGCTTTTGTAGTGAGGGAACCCTGTGCATCCCTTCTTTCTACTGCCCTGATAAGGTGATACAGTTCAATGCCACTGAAGCAAACTGGAACTTTACAAGATGAAAACAACTAAGTTTTGTCAAAGACTATTTTCTCACTACACATCCATAAGGAAGGAGGACAGGAGAGAGAAACAAAAGTCTCTATCTATGGAGACTGAAAAATGTAGAGATTTAAAGGGTTTTGTTGTACAGATTTGAAGGAAACAAAGACATCTTAAAACAAACTAGTAAACTTTTCCCCAGCAAGCCCTGCAGTGATTTCCCTCTTGCCCTCCAGGAGAAGGGAAGAAACAGAGACATTTGGCAGACTGTGGGGACCTCTGATGAGGTGAGCAGTAGGAAGAATTGTGTAAAATTTGCCATACTTTCCTGTGAATGTCCAGTGTCCACCTGTCCCGTATCAGTTCCTGAGCCATTCCCTCCCTTGGCCATCATCTGCCCTGGTGATCCTTATTAATGTTGGGCAATTTCTCACTGTTTGGTCTGCTCGCGTGAGAAGCATAACTGCCAGGGATAGGAAGAAGCATTCTCTTTATTAAGATTGGTAAGGGTCTGCATCATCTGCGCAAGCCACCTTTTCATAGTGCTCAGGTGACACCCACCATAAGGCGTAAAAACCTGGGGTCCACTGATTCTGGTCCCCAGCACATATGCAGATTCCATTTTGCATGATGAAGTGGTCTATGCTTATTATATACTTCGCTTAAAGACTTGCACAGACAGAAATGAAAGGTATGTGAACATCTGCTGGATTTTTGATAGCTGTCATAAACTATCAGCTGGAAGACCATTTCCAAGATGTCAACAGCATACTATCTAAATGTATCTTCCAGTTTGTGAGGCAGATTCACTACCTTGTGTAATCTCAGTATTCCTTACCAGTTGCAATCAATATTTCTAAGAAAAAAAATGTAAAAAATATACAAATGAGAGTCAGCATACCCCTTTGACTTGGGAAGCTTCTGTAGCAAGCCAAGTTAACAGAACACCAACAGCATTTTTCTGATCATCCTACCATCAAGAAAAGGCATCAATTTTTGTTTCAAAAAATTACATGTTCTTACCATATTTCAGATTTATCAGGATTAATAATAAAGTTAACATTTCCAGCTCAGATAGTATATGAGGAAAAGGAAGTACAAGTCATGTGGCTAACTGCATTATTTTTCCTTTGTAGTCAGCATCTTCCAAGATGAGAAAGCTTAAAAAGAGGAAGCTTAAAAAACATTATTCTATTGTGAACACCTAATTGTTTACAATCAAAGCGTTATGAGCTGTGATGTTTTTATGTATGTGTCTATTTAGAAACTTTTATTACAAACCCCTTTTACTCAGTCCTTTCTTGGGCCTGAAGAAATTAGCTATTCTCTTCTTAAATGCTAATTATTCCATTAACTATAGAAGAGCAATTGCTCATCTATATTTGTATGTACATACAGAAAGTGAAGCTCTTTTACCTCCAAAGGCTATGGCAAGGGTTTTTTAATCACTAATTTATCATCTCAGATGTTTCTGTGAAGACACAGGTTCTTGTCCCCAGTGGGTCTGTGCGGTGCCAAGTTCTGCATTCTCAAAGCTTCTATGCAAGTGACATGAATTTGCACAAATTAATAGGAAAGGTTTAATATATTAACATTATTCTTTTCATGGGTGATTCTTGATCCAATAGGGTAATGTGATTTTTTTCCAGTAGACAAATTATTACATTGTCTATTTATTATGGATTGTAGTATGCAGACTGAAATATAAATAACTAAACAGATCAGACTTAAATCTATGTATTACATACTTGCATCATGACCACCCAAGAAAGGGGATGTAAAATATTTTTTGGTCATCCTTGCATACACAGACTGTGTGCATATTAGCACGCCAGAAATATAAATGTTTGCAACAACACGTTTTCAAAATAAAACTATTTGCAGCAGCAGCACTGAGTCAAAGTGTACATGGATTAAAAGATATTCAGAAAAGTTATACTTTTTCCTATTCTAGTGGTAAAAGAGACATGGTTTTGTTTTCTTTTCTCCAGACCACACCATTAAAACCCTATGTGTACCTTGTAACAGTCTGCAAAAACCACCTGGCTCTCCTGATACCCTTGCATAATTTATACCTGCTGAAGTAATGCTTTGAAGGACAAACAGTGCAGTCTCATTGTAAGTATTTCCCCAGACTTCCCAAACATGAATCCCTGGTGGAGAAAAGAGTCAGATTTTCTCATCTGATGCTTTAACTCCGTTTATAACGCACCACAACAAAATCAATGACACCAAAAAGTCTCCTACAACTCCCTTTGCATAGGTAAGTTGGGAAAAGCACCATTCATGTTACTGGAACTCAAAACTCTCTTTTTCCACAGAAAGGAAGCAACATGGCAAAGGCAGCATAAGTTTTGTGCAATGGCTTATTCATATGCCACAGCAGCATTAGAAGATAAATCAGCCTATCTAGTCATTGGCCTCCCTACTCTGACTGCTACCAGGGACATTCACTCAGTCATACCAATGAGTTTTATGATGTGGACATCAGTGTGCAGTAACTGTTTCCTGCAATCTGTGAAGCAGTTATAAAAGGACAACAGACGATGGAGTTCACTTGATGGTATGCAAAACACTCTCTGCTATGTAAAGAGTCTGGTTTGCACTTACTTTGGCAAGAGCCTATAGACTATCAGTGAGGAATGCCAGTCTTAACTGTGGCTTTTAAGGCCAGACCCTGAAACTTTTATTTCAACCATGCTGAATCCACATTGCCTTCAGTGACTTCTTTAAACCAACAACAAATATGGACATATGTCTTTATATAAACACATGTATAAACCCCACATATCTTGCGATGAACTCTGTCACTCCACTGTGTTTTTGTAAGCTCTGATTAGTGTTTTGCTTCTCAGACTGCACTGATATAAGATATAGTTACCTCAATACTAATTTCAGTATAGATCAACAGCTACATTTTATTTCACATTTAAACTGACCATCAGTGAAGGTGGCAAATTCTGTATTTCCCTTGAGCCATACTTGAAACTCATAGCTCACTGTGCATTACTACTGAAGTGAAAGGCAGGATTTTTCACTTAGCTTTTAATACATTAAAATAACTATTAGATAAATGAAAACCTACACTTAATATTGTACAGTAATTTTTCTTAAGTGCTATTGCACCTTTTCATGGTGACCGGTAGCTTCAATAACATGACTCATACCTTATCAAGAGCGGCTTGCACTATGGATTCACTCTGAGTATCTAGTGTGGATATAGCTCAATCCAGAAGAATATTGTTGGGATTTCTTGCTAGGGCATGGGCAATAGCTATTCACTGCTCCTGTCCTCCACTCAGCTGAGCACCTCGCTCCCCTACCATAGTGTTAAACTTTTGAGAAAGGAGAAAACAAACAGAAGTTATGGGATGTCTCAAATTAAATCCTCATTGCTCTATGCGATCATAAGTACCTAGTTTCTAGACTAGAGGTATCTTTATCTGGCTGACTTGAGCAAAGACAGAAGAAAAGTGCAACTACATCCAGTGGTTCCTGCTGATTGTCACTCACTTTAAAGTGGCAGTTCTCAAAGTTCATTGTAGTCTTTTACTATATAATAAATATGATCATATAATTTTTCCTGAGAAGAGGGAACCTTGGAACAGATTGACATACTAGAAATGGCACACGCTTGAGAGCGCCAAGCTGTCTGGGGTAGTAGAAGAATTTGAAATCAAGTCCTAGGTAGGCATTTTTTCCAGTTTTTAACCACAGGATCAAAAGGAAGGACATATCACCATACATTCCTGAGGATGTTTTGAATGACTGACCTCACTTCCCACCGCCACCCTGAAAGGAGTAAGAGACCTGCTGCTAGGAAAGGGTTCAAAGCTGTGAATCTCAAGCACTAGGAGAGCTCAAGCTTCCAGCTGCTAAAAACAGCCTTGGTTCTGGACATACTTATTTACTTCCACCCCCATTTTCTGCTGAATGTGCAGACAGTTGCTGACAAAAGGTTTTTGTATTTCTAGATCTTCCCAATGCTTCCTGTGCCTCATGCACAGTACTTATGGCAGTACAGCTGTGAAGCTTCCCTTCTCCTGAGTTAAGGCATTGACATTTTTTCCAGACTTAAGCGCAAATCCATTGAGGATAACCAACCAAAGGCACAATATTTAATTCAAAAAGTCCCTGAACTGAAAGCTACTGGAGGCTAAAAGAGTATTTTGAGAAGTTATACTACAACTGAATTCCCATTCTCTCCCTCTCAGAAACAAGACACCAGCCTAAATGGACCTTTCAGCCTTATACTCAAAAGAAGTTCATGAACTCACATCAGGCAGTCTAGATATAAAGTCAAAAGCATTGGCTTCTTGGCTGCTTGCTCAATTTCAGCATCAGAAACATCTTCTTGGCCGTAGTGAATGTTATCAGCTACTGTTACAAACAAAACAGGCTCCTGGCTCATAATACCAATATCTTCTTGTAGCCACTTTACATTAAGCGTCCAAATATCCCAGCCATCTAAGGTGATCTGAGAGGAAAAGCATATGTTAAAGAAGATGAGAAAATGTAGTCTGTTAATAATAAAACAATTCTTTACTATTACTTAAGTATCAGCTACAAGAACCAAAAAGAAAAGAATTGTTGTCCTAATAGAAAACTACGCTGGGGGAGAAATTATAACTGTAGTTTTTCCATCCACTATGCAAGCTAGAAAATGGTGAGGAGCAGAATAAACAGAAAACATACCATATTTTTTTCTTGTTCTCTTCCCACCAACAACCATCCTGTTAAAGCTGGCTTAAGAGTCTTTGAGCTTCTCTGCATATTTTCTACCCTGTTCTCATGCCCCTGTGCCAGTTTGCTGCCCTTGCAGTTGTAGCAACGCAATTGTCTCTGTGGCTGTGCTATACACCAGATCAAAGAAATAGTCCATGCCAACTAAAAAGGAAGCAAACGTTATTTTTAACTTAGATCATTTGCAACGTGGTCCTAAGAACACAGATATCAGCACAGGAGAGGAATAGCAAACTGAGGCACAGGGGCAGGAATGAACAGTGGCAGAAACAGTAAGTTAAAGAAACAACTGTGTTGATAATAGATAGCCATCTTGATGCATTCTATAGTGATAGTTCACTGTTTAATATGCTTACCTAGTTCTGACTAGCAGTGACAGCCACTAAGTAGCATTCTTCAAATATTAAGTATAAACCAAACATTTTCCTTAAAAATATATTGTTTATTTTCCTCCTTTTGCCCTTTGGAAATTTCTTATGGAAAGTATTTACCATTTACTGACTGGATCTAGTATTTAGCGGTAGAGCAAATATATAGTGTGTAACAATGGAAAATTTGGCTGTGAGCTAGCAGGTGGAGGAAAATGAGGCAAGAAACCAACCGTTTAAAATAGGAAAAATCTCTCTAAGTTTTAGCTTATGTTCAATTAAAAGCAGAATACAGCAGAACACTGTTGGATCATGCTTTACCTAAAAACGTTTACAGAAAAGCCAATTGTTGATGAAAATAATTTTGAATCCAGATCTTACATCTATTCAAAGACTCATGGTATTTATCATTTCTGGCATAGTACTGCAAGAAGGAGGAGAATAATGAAGTCAAGCTAACAGAAGATAGTTCATTTGTAATTTAAATTGTGGAAATACTAAACTATGGAGAGATATGCTCAAATTTAATAAAAGGATTAAAAAAAATAAATCAAGATTCAGTCAATATGGGAAACTAATGCTTATCCTAATAGTTCCTAAAGCTGTAAGGCTTTTTACAGTTCACTTGCAAGCACTCACTTCTTCCTCAACAGGATCATAGAACCTCTGCAGCAATTGAATAGTAGTGCTTTTCCCACAGCCACTGGCACCAACTAAAGCAATGGTCTTTCCAGTTAGAATTTTCAAGTTTAGACCTTTGAGAAGGGGAGAAAGAAGAATAAGTTAAAAATTTATATTTTATTTTGACAAATTTGATTAGAGAACAGTCTGTCAAGGTAACTGCAGCAATAGTCAAGGCAGTAGAAAGGGACACAGTCTGGATGGATAGCAATATTAGTAAGTTAATTGTACCTGGGAATATTCTGGGGCACTGATATGAAAGAGACTGCATCTATGCTTGTGAAGTGTATTAGCCTTTGAAACAGGATGGCTACATGCAACCTAACTTTTGGGAATGGTCCCTGGTTCCTTCTGTCTATGAAACCAAGCCTGGGAATTACTTGAGAAGATTGATAACTAGAACAGGACAAGTTCATGCCAAGAAACATTTTAAGAGTTCCCTTGCATAGATCACTGCATTCCAGTGCCTGGGAAAATTCCCCAGCACACTCAAATCAACTAATATAGACAGCCACAGTACTCTAAACTTGATAGTTCACTTTATCCAATTTGTGTGATTGGGTAGCAGGCTCAGGGTCTTACATTCTCCTGCTGCCCTCCATTTTCCAATGCTTAGATAATGGCATAACAGTTATGAGTCTCACAAAATACTTCTAAGGTGCTAAACATTATTGCTGAGAAACAACCCTGCTTTGTTCTATTTTTAGAATATAAATGACTGTTTTGGTAACTTCTGGAAAGGTGACTTCTGGAAAGCTCTTAATAAACTCCAATCCTTACTGTTAACAGCCTCAGAAACCTGGGGAGTAGTTACAGATATCTCTGTTGCCATTTTCATATTTAGGAACATTTTACCTCAAAAAACATCCATGTCATATACTAGTAATGCTGTGTAGTTGCCAAGATATTTGGCTGCTATGGGAACTCTTCTTGTTTATGCTAGGCTGATTTATAATTTTGCCTACACATTTTTGTAGTGAGAGATTAAAATAGCTGCACTATTGCTCTCCTCTTCCTGTGCTACATCCAGCAAGGTTTGTGTCTCTAGGAAGCTGATATCCTGGTGCCTGCATTATCAAGTAAGACCTGTATTCTGGATACCATAATTTCTCCAGATGCAAATAGTCGCAACCACCTTAAAGATTATTTCTAAACCTCTTTTATCAGGAAAGGTGTTGTCAAGATTAAAATTGACGATAACTAGACTCCTGAGGTTGATTTGATTTAGCCTTCACATGGGGAGATTACACTGTGCTGCATCAGTTGCTTGACTGATTGTGGATAACTTGTGTATAACATCCACACATCTTTGCTGATTCCCTCTGGCCCTATTAAATAATGTTGATACTCTGAGCAGGGAGAGTTGCTGACTCAGATTTTGGAAGGATGACAAAATATTTCTTATTTCCCTCCCTTTGGTGTGTAGACCCATTGCACAGCTAGCTCATGGGCCTGAATAGCATTTTTAGGAAGAAGGATGAAGAGTCTGCTCTTTCACTTCTAATTTCTGAGCCAAGAGTGAAAGAAGATGCATTACACTAACTGCAGTTTGGAAGAAAGCCTAGCTCTGACTTTACCCTTCAGCAGCCTTAGTGTCCTGGAAATAGATTTGATGCACAATGGGCCAGACCTCAGATGAGAGGTGGGAAGAGCCATCTGAAGAAATAGACACAGTGATATGAACTTTCCCATTCTCAGCACTTAACTGGCATGCCCAGCTTTTAATTGCTGACTTTTGAAATCTCTATTTTACCTTTTTCTTCACCAAGTAACAGCAGCAGCAAACCTCTTTTCCTTTCACCCTTATCAGGGTCTTCAAAAAATTACAAACTGTTGAATATGGTAGAGAGGTCAAATCAACTAGATCACCACAAAAGTAACCACCATGATGTGACATACATAGCACTACGTGATAAGGGTGTTAAGGGAAGTTCAACTGGCAAAGAACAGGAACATCACTTTATTGAACAGCAATAACATTTGGCTTCAAATGTGTATTTAGGATGATATGCTTCAATCCATGTGATGGCATATTGTTATAAAGCCTGTCTCAGAGGTCATATTTCACATGGGATATCACAGCAACTCAGAACAAAAGACTGGAAAGAGCAGCTTCCTGATTTAACTGTGTAGAGTCTAGAAGCTTTAATGGCAGATCTTGAAAAATCTTGTTTGGTCTATCAGAGTTCTTGTTCACAGAAATTCAGACTACGAGTAACACATATTCTTAGCCTTGTCCAGAGGCAGTAGATCTAGAACTTTATTTTTCCCCCTTGTAATGCACAAAGAAATGTCCCACCTCCCAAGACAGGAACACATTTTGCATTCAAGAACAAAACCAACGTTAGGCAAATAATATGGACATAGGCTGCAGAATTTCAGTACAGTAGATTAATCTAAAATGATCACCTACTTTGACATCAGGTCTGGATGGGTAACCAAAATGGACATTTCTGAATTCAATTTCTCCTATGAGTCTGTCTGGTTTGCAGCCTTCCTTAGAACTGCTGTCTATAAGCTGTTTCCGGAAAGAGGTTTTTAAAATCTATTGCTGCTTATTACAATTTTTGGAACTGTTATTTCAGCTTGACTCATTGTTCTCTCCTTTACTTTCTCAGCTGCTGGTTTACACTTCAGTACACCATGGCACAGCTGCTGTGTTTTACTCACAGGATGCTGAATGCAGGGGAACATCTGACTGCGAATTCTACTATGACAAATATATTATATTCTCAAATGCAACAAAATCCATAGCAGAAAGCCTGTAATTGCAGAACTTGTCTGTACTATCTTGCAGCTAAACATGGCTCTCAGTAATCTCTGTAGGAGGAGCTTACACTCACATCAAGAAGAATGATGTAGCCACTTCTTCAAGAGCTTTCTAGTCCTATTTGTTTAAAATATTTTATATATACAGATATCCCATTACTGCATAACACAACAAGACCTTGATAATAACCTTTTCTCATAGCAACATCAGCACTGCAGCTTTATATTATTAAAGCTTTCAATGGCACTATTAATCCCCTCCTCACCAACTCCCCCCCAAAAAACAAACTCAGCTGAAATTGTGCATACAATTTCATGCCTTACTATTTTCCCTCTGGAGCTGCAACTCTAATATTAGAGAATGACTTCATCCATCAATCTCAGATACACGTCTGATTTCCCAACATTCATTGTAACAAATAAAGAAGCAGTTTTCTTGATGTGAATTGAAATATTACAGGTTTCAGTGGTTGACATTTATAGTTTGAATATATCTATAGTTATGAATACTTTTGGCTATGTCTCTTGAGGAACAAAAAAGAGGGGGGTGGATTTAAGTGTGACTGAAAGGCTGCCACTTACATAGATAATTACCTTATTGATAATATGATATGCTTCATAGGCAGCTCCACGTGCATTAGCCACCTTCTCCAGGTTGGGAGCTGCCTAGCCCTGGGTCAAGGCTCTGATGAACACAGAGAAGAACACCTGCAGGAGACAGAAGGAAGCATTACAGTTAACCGTGATTACAGAGCCACCAATGCCCAGCTGTTAAATGCCTATGTCTTTCGACTTCACCCTTTCCAGGAAAAATAAATACGAAAGTGAAAAGAGCATTCCAGTCACTCCTGTCCACTCCTCATTTTCCTGGGGTGAATAGTAACTACCGAAACATGCTTTTGTGGCATGAGTAACTTTTCTTTTTGATATTCTTGCATTTTCTATCATGTAGGAATAGAACAAATATCTTTCTGTGTTGCTTTCCAGATGTTCTCAAAATTAAGAGGCTTACAAAATTTATTGCAGATTTTCTTAACTGAAATCCTACTTATGGGACCAACACACAATTAACTTCATGTGCTTTGAGGAACCATACTGAGGGGAACTCATCAGACATCGCTTTAGTGTGTAAATTAAGCATATAACCAAAATTTGCAGAACAAGAAGATAGCTAAGTATCCTCAAACCATTACCAACTTGGATATATTGGTAAGGTATGGTAAACACCTTCAAGTAAACAACAACAAATATGCAAAAAGACATGGCTAAATGAGATATTGAGGACTTATCAGTACACTTTCATCACACCAGCAGGATTCATTTAATCCTAGTGTTTAGCTAGAATTTTTTTGGCAATCCAGATTACTTGTCCTTGCTCCCTAACTATCAGCTCTAGTTTGCTCATCCTGCCCTACAATAAGGTACAAGACAAGTGATGAAGTACAGATACTTTTGCCTCTACATTGATTAGAGTGGGAATTCAAAGTGTCCTGTTCAAATTGTTGTATCAGAAGCCAGGGAAGATGAATGCCTTCCTTTCAGTTCTTTTATTCCAAGTGAGCTGCTAACAGCTAATTTAGCAAACACTTGGCAGGAAAATAGAGATAATTATATAAACTACTGACATAACTATTTTCTTGAAGCTACAGAGCATTTTTCAAAGCTGCATTGCTGCACTTACAATTAACACACAGCTGATGTAATAATTTTCATCCTCAGCAGTGAGCTTGGTTCCATACCAAAATGCAAGCACATAGGGTTCAAAAATGAGAAACTGTGAAACACCTAGAGATGTGTTGGTGGTAATGGATTTTTTCAGCCCAACACTTCTAGCCACCTCTAAGTTAGCATCATATCTGAAAGTGGATAAGGAAACCATTAATCTGATTGGTACCACATGCCATTCTGACTGATATTTCCCACTGACCTTTTTTTAATTAAATGGATTTCTGACATAAAAACAATTAAAGTCTCACAGAAAGAACACAGACTTCTTTTTTTGACAGAAGACTAATAAGGATATAATCCATTTGAATAAATCTGCTCTTGCATACACTGACAACACTGTCATACTGTTACAGAAGACATTTAGAAAAAATTGAATAACATGGTATTGTAATTCTCGAAGACACAGTATCACTCTTGAGCCATTTGTTTGCATTAGTCCTAAAAGAAAATCTTGAAAAAGTTTTATCAACATTACCTATCCAAGGTAAAGTTTAGTCTTCCACATTCAAAACAGGTAAAAAAAAAGCAAGCCCAGGCACTACAGGTTAAGGTAGGTAAATGAATAGAAGCCAGAGTTCCCTCTGGCATTTGAGTTGTTCTCATACTGGCCATTCTGGGAAGCCAGGACTCCTTCCCTTAGGTTAATTTACTGATTAATATGGCAATATAGCAAACAAGTGGACATGGAAGACTAGTATGAAGACTGACAAGTTCAACGGGAGAATTATTTCTTCTAAGAACAGTTTGTATTCATTCATCTATAGTTTCCAGGTAACAGCTTTCACTTACTCAAGCTCATTATGGAAAATATAGCCCAGGGATAGGGTTGTAAAAAAAAGATGTTTTTACTTGCCATCTCATGCTCAGCATGCTCAGCAGCTTGCACTTTTTTCCTAATACATGTTTTCTATGAAAATCAACCACATAAAAGGAATAAATGAAATTCAGTCAGCTGGGAAGGAATCTTTAAACAATGTGTATTAATTTTGCTCATGTAAATTGCCCACAGGCTACCAATTCTGTATCGTTACTCAAATGTATTTAAAAGTTTTGGCTTGGTTGTGTTCTTAAAACTTAGCCCTAACTTCGAGTCAGCAGCATCACAGGACCTTCAGGGAAATGAGAACTGGATTTAAGGAGTGTAATGAGTATATGTGATCACTCAACTACAAAGAAGGAGCCAAACCACTGCCAGAAGCATAAGATGACTGAAGGTCCCTTGCAAGCATAAACATTTGCAGTCAGTGGAGGCACCGTGCAGCAAAAAGTTTTCCTAACTATGAGGCCTTCATTCAAGAGCTGTGTAGGAGCCATAATCCACAGCTCGAAAAATGCCCTAGTCAGCCCCTGGTAGGAGTGTCTGTTCCTAGTAGATGATGTTCCTAGGAGAGCCACCAAGGGTTTTTACATTAACTGGAGGTAGAGCTGCGGAAGAGACTGATGGGACAACCATGGGTGAAAGGCCTTGCTGGCATGGAGTTACCCGGGTATCAGTTATTTTGTTTCTAGACCTCATTAAAAAAAAAGACCCTGGTATTTGCAGGGACCAAGAAGATGGGAAGGAGAGGGACAACTTATCTCGGTCATCTTAGGGCTGTTCTGCCTTTAGTGCATAAACAGAAAGGGTCTGAATATTGTTGCAACTTAAGGACAAATCCCACTAAGCAGAGCACAATGCTGTAAGACAGTCAGAGCTCAGCCTTGGAAGCAGGTGAATGCAGCAGCAGGCTCTGAGCTAGGGTTAACATTGCCTTAGAAATTTCACAAGATCAGGGCAAACATGAGAGTTAAAAAAAGATAGAAGAGATTCATGGATCATATGAATCAGGTCTTCCGGTTTGCCTTTCCCAACTACATAGTACTGGTGATGACCTGTATTTGCATATTGTTTATGCTTGTTGAGTTATCTGATATACATGTGAATAAATTAGTGGTCTGTCATATTCACCTTACCCTTTTACATGTGACTAGGGCCAGCAATGGATTAGGTCAACTGCAAGTGTTATTTGCAAATTGTTAAAGTAATAAAGGCCAGTAATGTGATTTTGCTGAAGGCTGCTATCCAGTGAAGTTTGAACATAAGCTCATCAATCAGAGATCAGAACAACGGTGCATGTTCTAAAAGTTAAGCAATTAATCACATGCTTCTCTGCATTTGACTACAAGGTAAAGATAACCTTCCTACCACTTTCACTTTCTATTCCACTCCAGATCTCTATCAGAGGAGAAATTTGAGTCTGTGCTGCAGTAATAACACAAAGTACCTTGTATGCACTGACTAGGTTCATTTACGCATTTTTATTTCAGGTAAGCTGTCCACTTACAGAAGGATAAAATGACACTAAGGAGACTCCCCTGCCTCCCACCCCTAGCCCCCAAGCCAAACCCCCAGCCAATCTCTTGTTCCATATTTATAATAGAATTTCAAAAACTTACTTTGCTAATGCCTTCTGCTGTCCATTGAAAGCCACAACAGTCCTGACTGCTGTCAAAATTTCTTTCGCCACAGCTCCTGCTTTGGCATAAACAGACAGCTCTCTAGCAGTGAGGGATGCCAGCAACTGGAAAGTTGAAAAACAGTGTTACTGCAGTCTGCTGAAAGGATATAAACACTATATTACTGAATAAGAATGATCACTGCTGAAAACACAAGTTGAGATTTTAGGAAGGAGTCCATCAACTCTTCTCTTTGCCCTGAATTTCCCCAAAATCCAGCTCATTCTCTGATTGTATCCTCACTACAGTGAAAGACTACCATGAGCATCAGATGAGCTTCATGACTGATCACTTTCCTCCCAGCCTGAGGACATCCTCTGAACTACACTATGATGTGTGCGTGTGTGTCAGGAAGGTGTGATGTTGCTGCTCTGCAGGGTGTCCAAGGTGTTCAGAAACTGAGAGCACCAGTAGACATTGAAGGCAGTCACATTACAGCTTCTAATGTTCTTCTTCCTAGCTTATCTGAAATGCTTCTAGTAGGAAAAACCTCCTAGTACTATATACAAGTACATATAACAGGAGTACAAGTGGTACCCATGAATGTGGCTACAACAGTTCACAAAGGGAAAATGTTTTCCTATCTGAAAGGGAAATCTCTCCAGGTGTTTTTACTAATTTATATCACTCCAGTAACAGCTGTATATATGTCCTAGAGTTTACTCTGTACACAGCATGAAGCCTGGTAAACTGTTTGAAAGAGATATGGTTTTGCACTTGAGTAGACAGAAAGAGCTTGAAAAGTATCTGTGTTAAGAGTGAGGGCCACATGTGTGAGCCTCGACTTCCCCAGTTCTCTGCATGAAGAAATCACTGTGCAAGGAAGATGCTGTGATGCAGATTACCCTCCTGCAACAAGACATAAGGACAGAGTACATGGACAGAAGGAATATGATTCACAAGTACATGCTTGGGAACTCAGAGAAAATCTAAAGGAGGAGTGAAAATCACTAAGTAAGCATAGGACCAACATTTAGAAACCACACTAGGTTGCTCCCATTCTCTCTCTCTTTCCTGTGCATAAGAGTTGTACTGTTTTTCTGGTTTGCTTTGGTTTTTAATTCACACACACAGATGACCAAAATGCCGCTGATGCAGCAAGCAGAAGGCTAACAGACAAAATCACCAGTGTCAGCTTCCATCTGTAGATGAATCCTGTAATAATCCCTGCCAGAAATGTGGCAAAAACCTGTACAAATATACAGATCTTTTCTTCAATGCCTTCATGAAAAAAAAAATTAAAAATTATTACCTTTGAATGCATTTCATTCTAACTTCCTCCCATTCTGCTTCATGCTGTGTGGTCTACTGTCAGAAGCTTTGCCATTTCCTAACTGGCACAGTGAAATTTCTAACCAAAGCTACTGAACAGTGCCGTTAGTCTTTTGTGTGGGCACAACACAACAGAAACCTCCTATTTTTTAGGACTAATTTTCTATATTTTCCATCATTCTCTGCTGTTTCTGTGCCCTGTCGCTACGTCACAAGTGACCTAGTTTCCTTAACCAGCATCTAAATGTAATACAAGTAGACAGCCAAACAGCCTCCTCATATCCTGTGACCATCTCTAAATGATTCATTCTGCTCAGCTCTCTGGTGCATTTTATGTTCTTAATTTTGGCTACAGACTGAGATCAAGGGTTATCTCCATTTTACCAAAACAATTATTATTTGGAAGAATCTCTGGCTTCCACATAAATTTCCTTCCCCATTTTCTCTTCTCAGAACATACAGATATTAGAGTGGTTTCACTTAAGCTTCTCTTACACCTTTCAGGACACAGCTCTGTCCAAAGCTACCATAAAACTCCGGAAAAAAAAAATTAATCTGTGTTCATGCATACAGCCCCACTGCATCTTGGGGCACACAGCCCTCATCCCTACATCTAAATCAATGGAAAAGCTTGGAGACTTTAACTGGACAGAGGTTCATCCTGATATCTGGCTTGATGCAAATACAAGCTCATTTCCATTAAACAAAGTTTCAGAACTTTCGGTGTTTGTAAACTAGCTGGAAACAGCAGAGCTGTTTATATAGACTGTCTGCTATGTACTTCACGGACATTAGAAAGCCAGCGCCAAGCATTTCACAGCAAAACCCCTTCTAATGCATGTATCACACAAACTGAACAAATGAAGCTGAAAAGGATAATGAATTTCTCCCTTAGAGCAGTGACATTTCAGGTTTTTGGTTTGTTTTTTTTTTTTTCCAACTTTCTGTAGGCTATACCATAAAAGACAAACAGCAGTTTTCTTTAAAACGTCATACTTACAGAGGTAAATAAACAGAATCCTTACTCTTTCAGCCTGGTGTTCAGCGTTCGTATTTGGGCAGAATCAAACAAAGCCGCTTCCTGGTGAGGCACTGCAAAGAACAACTTCTACCAGATTCTTGCAATCTGCCTCGTGGCAGCAACCGAAAATGTTCCATGCTTGGATGGTGCTCAGGACCAACACAGCAAAGCCAATTCCCACACAGTAGTAAGCATACCTGTGATAAGGGAACAAAAAGCCCCACTGTGTGCTGTGAGAGAAATTAGACACATAAAGCAACCATTCACCAATGTAAATACTGAAGTCTGATACATTCTCGAGAAGCCTTTTTGGGAAGTCAAACCTTTAGCTTCTGCTGAAAGGAATAACATAATAAAAGGAAATCGCCCAATGCCCTGTAAACAGAACAACTACAAAGACTCTTACTTTGTCATTTCACTTTCTGTATCTATGCCTGGAATTGTTGAACAGCTGGAACTATTTACTGAAGTATCTGTGGGAGAAAAAAAAGTCCTAATATTTGTGAAAGTGTAATATAGAAAATAAATCAGGGTAATCTAGGGTCATCAGATTTGGAACATTTTGTGTTTTACAAGTGAGGTTTTGCATAATACAAAATAATTTGGTAAATACATTTATTTTTAAGGAATGTAATTAGAGCCTGATAACTGATGATACAAAAGGTGGTCATGCTGCTTACTGTCTTGCCAAAGTTGAAGTCATTCATAAAGAGCACATCCAGCCACTCCTCTTGCCCTGGTCTAGCCATTAAAGATTGATTAAAATGACTGGATAAGTTCCAGCAGGATGAATTTTGCTTATTATATAATTTTTTAGATGTGTACCAGTGCATAGTCTGGGGAAAGGAAAGGCGGGGGATGAGGGTGGGTCTTAGTCCCTGTAGTGAAACATAACTGGTATATAGAAAATCTAATTTTAACGTTTACCTTGACACATTTGCTTGCACTCTGTTTTGCATAAAGCTGTTTGTCATATCTCCATAGAAAATGACCATAAGTGGCATTCCAGTACCATCTGCAACAACTGCGATCAAATCAACTACCAACAAAAGGACATCCACACGATCAGCATAGCAAAACTATGTGATCATTAAAAAAACCCAAAACCAGAAAGTGAAGTTATGCCTCACAGTTCAGTATCTGTTATAGTACAGTGGGCTTTCAGATTATGCTTTGTTTCTACCTATATATTCCAAGTAGCAACAACACTCCAACTGAAGATAAACTCAGAACATAAGAATTTTATACGTCTTTAAATCAGTACTCAGTATGGCTGCTAAGGGAATACTTATGGGACACATGGCTCTTCCCCAGCTTGGCAGCAAAATACCCAAAGTGTATGTCCTACATGTTTCTAAGTGATAATCTTCTTTGTACAATATATTTTATTTTGTGTTCCCTTAGTTACATATTTACTAAGATAATGCCTTTGAAATGTAAACAAGAGTGAGTTATTGACCAGCACCTGTGTTACATATACTAGCAGAAAATGTTTGCAGCAGGGATTGTGTCTTAAGGCTTGTCCACCCTTGAACATTTATGAATTTAAATACCATAACTATTCCTGGATGTGATTAATCTGAAATCAGAGTATTTTGTTCCTGACTGTCCTAACCCTCTTCCAAAGTGTAAGTGACATATGAATAAGACAGAGAAGAATAAAACTTCTCTTGTTTCAGAATAAGCAAGTCCACGTGTAAGTTATTTGGGAATAGCTGTTGTACAGCAAACTGATACAAAACCATACCACAAGTTCTCTCAGAAAGCACATGCCTCAAATGTCAAACAGGATACATCCTTTACAAAGCAAAGGCAAGGTCAAAGCAACGTCCTAGGTCAGCCTCAGCAGGGGTGAGCTTCTTCTTCCAACACCACTACAGTTGAACTGCTGTCAGTGCCACCAATACACTGAGGGGAGCATATGACCTAACTGACCAAATTTTAGAGAGGTCTAGCATCAATAGATCTCAGGCTTTTTCTCCAAATTTTGATCGCCTATTAATTGTAATTTATAAACAGTTCACAATGACAAGTAGCAAAAAGAAAATATAAAGCAGACCATCAACTTGGACACTAACCAATTCAAATGCGGCAACCACCTCTTTCTCTGGCTTCTCATTTTCCTTCCTAGAAGAAAATAAAAAAGACTAATGAACATGTGTTTTTTCTAGCAAAGTTATATTAAACTCTTTCCTCACCTCCTCCACCCTGCCCTCATACAGGGCATCTTACTCAGTACACCAGTGGCCAATGTGTTAAGTTCAAAGAATACCTGCTTTTAAGAGTACCTGCTTTTAAGAGTACCTACTTTTAAGAGTACCTGCTTTTAAGAGTACCTACTTTTCGTTCTTGGGCTTTAACTGGTCACTTGGTTCAAGATTTTCATTGTGTTGGAAATAGGAGTTGTATCTCTTGGTTGAAGATTCTGTGAAATAGAAGTAGAGTTTTAGTTTAGGTTGTTGCTTTTGGGTTGGTTTTCTTTTACTTAATAAAACATCTTTTGTACCAGTTTCTTGCAGCTTTCCCTGCTAATTCTTTTTTATTTAAATCTTTAGGATTAGTTTTTCTCATGTTCTTGGAAGAGCCTCATGCGTTTTTCTTGAAACTTCCTTTTTCTTCAGTTCATCTCCTCTACACCAGAAAAAAGCTCCCAGCTCCATTTATGAGACTGAAACAAACTTCATTTTTACAACTAAAATATATTTATAGAGAAAAGCTATCTAAAAGCAAGAATTAATTCATCCTGCAAACACCTACACAACTGAATGCAAACAAGGAGAAGCACTACTGAAATAAGTGGACTTGGTTATGGAGAAGAATCACAGAATCACAGAATCCTAAGGGTTGGAAGGGATCTCAAAAGATCATCTAGTCCAACCCTCCTGCAAGAGCAGGGTAACCTACAGTACATCACACAGGAACTTGTGCAGGTGGGCCTTGAATATCTCCAACGTAGGAGACTCCACAACCCCCCTGGGCAACCTGTTCCAGTGCTCTGTCACTCTCACAGTAAAGAAATTTTTCCTGATGTTCACATGACCTCCTATGCTCCAGTTTACACCCATTGTCCCTTGTCCTATCACTGGACATCACTGAAAAAACCTAGCTCCATCATCCTGACACTCACCCTTTACATATTTGTAAACATTGATGAAGTCACCCCTCAGTATCCTCTTCTCCAAGCTAAAGAGTCCCAGCTCCCTCAGCCTCTCCTCATAAGGGAGATGTTCCACTCCCTTAATCACCTTTGTAGCTCTGCGCTGGACTCTTTCAAGCAATTCCCTGTCCTTCTTGAACTGAGGGGCCTAGAACTGGACACAATATTCCAGATGCGGCCTCACCAAGGCAGAGTAGAGGGGGAGGAGAACCTCTCTTGACCTACTAACCACACCCTTTCTAATGCACCCTAGGATGCCATTGGCCTTCTTGGCCACAAGGGCACATTGCTGGCTCATGGTCATCCTCCTGTCCACGAGGACCCCCAGGTCCCTTTCCCCTTCACTACTGTCCAGCAGGTCAACCCCCAGCCTGTACTGGTACATGGGGTTGTTCTTCCCCAGATGCAAGACTCTGCACTTGCCCTTGTTGAATTTCATCAAGTTCCTCTCTGCCCAACTCTCCAGCCTGCCCAGGTCTCGCTGAATGGCAACACAGCCCTCTGGTGTGTCAGCCACTCCTCCCAGCTTAGTGTCATCAGCAAACTTGCTGAGGGTACATTCAGTTCACTCATCCAGGTCGTTGATGAAAAAAACAGCACTGGTCCCAGCACTGACCCCTGAGGGACTCCACTAGTCACAGACCTCCAGCTAGATTCTGCCCCATTAACCACAACTCTCTGCCTTCTTCCTTCCAACCAGAAGATTATAATTGCTGTAGGTAAGACAGAACAGATAAGAGTTAACAGAAGAATCATGTTTTCGTCTGTAATAGCTGTCTTCATTATTCCTTTGTATTGCAATAGTTACCACATATCCCACTTCCTTTGTGCTAGGGGCTTTAGTAATCTACACAAAAAAGGAATCTTACTCCTGAAAGATTATGATTCTAAATGTATAAAATGAGATGTAATAACTGGATAAATAAACTAATGAGCAACCACAGTAGGGAGCTAGCTGTGAATCACATGGGGAGAAAAAGGGCTCCACACACCAGTCACACCCAATTTACATTTACCTTAACTTTACATAATGACTCACTATGAACAGCATTTTCTACATACTGTTTTCACGTCAGGCTCGTTTAGAAATTTGTTTAAAGACCTGCTTAGACAACCATTTGAAGGTAATAATGTGCTTTCACCTTACTGAGATTATTGTACTAACATTTTCATGCCCAGGCTAAAACCCAGCTGAATAGAAATGGAAATGAACTTTGTTGAACTTGGTGGAATAATTTATACATTAATGTTTTCTAGGTGTTAGCTTTAGTTAACTCTTTGTGTAATTTCCTATGAAATCACCACAGCAATCAGGAAAGACACAACGCACCTTTAGACTTGGAGCTGTGGAATATAGCCCTCAAAAACATACATGGCTTTCATGCCTGTGGCTTACCAGCATCAGAGAGGTCCTTTTATGTGGAGTTTACAACATATTTCTTCATTGTTCTTGTTTTACGTTCACGAGATGAAGTCACTTAAATCAAAACCTGTATCAAAAAAGCAAGAAAATATTTAGAAATAACAAATATTTAAAGAGTTCACGTTAAAATGTTTGCGGGGTTTTCCATGACTCATTACATCCTGATCTGAACATAGTCCTACTTGAATGCAACTCAAAAAAAAAACCCACCCCAAAAGGTAACAGCGTGACAAAGAACTACTTTTAATGAGATATTAAGAACAGTGCAAACTATTACAATGAAACCAAACTCAGTAGCTTTTTTAGCCAGTTTTAGTAGTCTTTTATGCTAAATCGTTCACATACAAATTATGGTGGATGATCTATTACAGAATGGTGAATTTCTCTCATTAGCTTACGTTTGATTATGTGAGTTACATCAGAGTGATTCGTGTCAGCAACTCAGGGGTCCTAGTGATCATTGCACTTTGTGTGGAGATGGAATCCCTTGTTATCATTGTGCTATGTGCAAAGGGTATGATAAGTGTCCCTGTCAATACCACAGTGAGGAGGAAGGAGAAACAAGGGAATAATTCCCCTGGGTCAACCGCAATATTGTGCAAAGAAATGTTTTGTTCATTGTTTAAATTGCATATGGATGTTCTTAGAAAAGGGGTGGGGGGAGGTAACTTAGAGATATGTCGTGTTACAGAACATTGTGAAATCTGTGCGCTGAACAAATAAACACATAAGGAGTGGAATTTATGGGGGCTAAGATGGCGGTCAGACTTGTGATAGACATCTTATGTTTAGTAACCTTTCTAAGATATCTCTTCACCTGGAGACAAGACCCCAGCAACAGGTGGAGAAGCCTGGGAAAAGAAGACAACAGGATTGGCTGAAACCCAAGAAGCCCAGGAAAAGAAGACAACAGGACTGGCTGAAACCCAAGAAGCCCGGGAAAAGAAGACAACAGGATTGGCTGAAACCCAAGACCAAAAAGCATGAGACTATCCCCAGAAGTTCCCCTCGTGTGTCTCAGGCAGAGCAGAGACTCCCCGGCGCACCCAGCACTGCTTGCTTATTGCCTCTCAGTATAAATTATAATAAAAATCAACTAAAACAGATTAGCGATACTAGGTTTTTATAACAATTAGAACTCATTGAAGAGTCATAATACAATCATGGCTATAATCCTAAAGACTAAGGTTATTTAGGACGATAGAGTGGTTTGGGTTGGAAGGGACCTTAAACACCATATAGTCCCGATCCCTTGCCATGTCTGCATTATGCCACACACCAACTATGCAAAACTTAAAGGCAGTAAATGACTGGTGTTCCGAGTTTTCCAAGTCTTTTTTTCTTGATGCATGGTATATACAGGTTTAAAAAAGAAACCTGTATATACGGGGGGGGGGGGGGGGGGGGGAAGGGCAAAAAAACCTACGCATGAATTTGATGAAGGCTAAAATAATAACAAACCCCATAATAAAATATATTTCAAAACATCTTTTAGGGCAGATTCCTGACTGCTATTCCAGTTTACCTTGACAATCCACACCCGCTGGTGACCGTGGCCTCTCTCGATGACCCCGCCCGCCAAGCCCCATGCAGCCCCTATACTGCGCAGCGGCCCCGGCCGCCTAGAGCAGCCGTTATAGCGGCAGTGCCGCCTTCCCGTTCCGCCGACCTTCCCACCCACCCAGCCCCGGCTCTGGTTTCAGGTGAAGGTCGGTGCCGCAGCCGGGCAGGAGGCGTGCGGGGAAATGCGTTTTGCCCACAGCAGACCCCTACCAAAGCTGGAAGAATGATGACTTGGAAAACTCTGCTGATAAGCAGAACCGAGGGGCAGTTTGAACATGAAGGAGCTGTCCAGTGAAAAACTCCAGGCTTGTGAAAGCTATTGGTAAGGTCACAGGAAATCTGAGTAATTGCTTCCTGCATTTGCTGGGTTTCAACTTAAGAGTAAAGACACACTGATGAATATGAACTGAGAAATGTAATGAAAGAAGTATTCTGATTTCCCACTTCTAAACGACATGAAGATCAAAGCTAGCTAAATTTATTACTGTTTTCAGGGAAGCTAAAGATCACATTTTGCTCATTTACTCCCCACCTCTTCATCACAATGTGTGTGGGGCTTTTTTTCAGGAAAAGTTAAGGCTGTTTCTTTCTTTGTCTTAGCTCAGAGGATTGGGTTTTTTTTCTTCCTCTGAAGAAAGAAGGTAAACAGATTTTCTGCGCAACTCTAAAAATAACAGTTGTTTGGCTTCCCCCACCCGCACATATTGGAATCTATCATTTACTTACAGTAATGCTTTTAGTATTTGCAAAAAAATAAACTCCAGCTGTGTTCCCATCCACTCAAATTCCTTTATCCCAAAGCTGAGTGCCAGATAATTAACTGCAGTTACTCAGATGTATTCTCAAGTAACAAGTTTAGGACTCATTCCAAGTTAGGCTTCCCTTTTCTGCCTGCCCCACAGGGTCCAGGTTACGTTTTACATGTTGGTTATGGTGTTCTGAAAGAAACTCAGAAGAACAGGCATTATCAGGCATCACTCCTGCTTACTGGGACTTTATATGTTCAGTTAGGTTAAAACTCCTGCATATCAGACCTGTTACTTTTTTAGTACTTTCTTATCTCAGTAGTAATACTCAGGGTTTATACTCCTGACTCAGTGTTAAGCTTATGCAATGCACATCCACATCTGTGTTCTCTGTTCCAAGAAGTTAATGAAAAGCTTCGGCTTCTGCTGCCATGAAAAATCTGAATTTACAGATTTTTAGGATAAGAGACAGAACAGCAAGCTGAAGCACCTCACTGTCCCAGCTGCAGAGTTCACAGCTGCATGCAGTATTTCCTTCTCCAAAGACAAAAATTTTAAGTGTAAGGACATCTCGCCTCGAAAGCAAATGCCAAGGTTTGATGCTTGATGTGGGGCTGACAGAGCACACAGATACCAAAGTCGGAGAATGGATATAGTGTGAAACAAAAAAAGCCCCTTCCCTTTCACCAGTTTTCAGATCTGCTGAATACTCACATACCTTGGCTTGGGATCGCTTGACAGTCTAGGGAGTGTTTGGTACCTCTGAAAACGCAGAAGCTTTGAAAAGTGCAGGTGTCATTACCGTACACACATAGTAGCAACAAAATGGTAATTACAGTTCAGATCCACTGCTCTACACACTGTGTGCCTGGTAAGAAAAAGCCTCAGAGTTCTCCTGCACATAAAAGTCTGTCCTAAAAGGGCATGCAAGCTGAGCAGGACAAACTACTGGTACTGCAGAAAAGAGAAGAATGGGGTGTTGAGAAAGAAGTTGTTTCCTTCTCTTTTCTACCCACCCCCATTTCTTCCTTTGGGAGTGATGTTATACTCATGCAGGTTAATGAGCATCTCCAAAGAGGGGTAAAATAGAAACCCAAACCATAACCAAACAGATTAAAAAGGAAAATAAACAAAAGAAGGAATAAGAAATAGTTTCTTGGAAAAAGATTGCTCATTTAACCTACTGAGAAACATAGACTCATAGTCTAATTGCAGCTAACTACTCTTTGCTTAAATAAAATATAAATTAGCACAGTCTGACATTTTTGCAGAAGTAAAAGTTCTGGTCTAAAATACACGTCAAGCGGAGAAGACTCTCAATAAAAGAAGGCAGAGAAGCAACACAGAAAATGACAGTTTACAATAATGCCCTTGGAATCTGTGGCATGGGGAGAGAAATTGTGATAAAATATGTGATTTAGAGGAGAAATACTATTTCTTTTGTCCAAAAAATATTTGTACAGATCTGGAAAATACTTGATGTATCTGAAAAGTATTCTAATTCCAAACAGACAATATAAATCCATGCCTCCATGTGTTTAGTCCATCTGTTCAAAAGTGGTCAGTGACAGGAAAAGCAAAACTACATGGAGTAAATATCATTAATACCAGCCATAATTAACTGAACTAGAAAATATATCACTTCAAAGAACTATTAACGACAATCACAAGGTTATTAAAAATAAATAAATCTACAATAAAAAAGCCCTCCAGCAAACCAAAAGACCCCCAAACAAAACATAAACTGGAAATAAGAACCCATTTACCCAGCAAAGCATTAATGCTGAGAAGAATACAATGTATGTATGGAAAAGCAGTATACACCCAACTTTACTAGAACATTTCCTCAAAGTAACAAGTATAAAGAAGGTGTGTTGTATTTTGCAAGTGTAGTAGCTCCTTACTGCTTTTTGACTTCAACAACAGATAAGAGCAGCGGCAAGACACCTAGCCCCCATTTACAAGCCATATGTGGGTAGTCAGGGCTAGTATTTAACCAATTACCTTAAGGAGAGGTGTTCCCTTACCTTTCCTACATAGCTGGGTTTTAATTAACAGCATGGAGCTATAAAATACCTTTATCTTTACTTATTGCTTTTTGGTGTTATTTGCTTTGTGACTTGTGCATCCATGTTCTACATGTGACTCAGTCACAAAAGATTTGCCAGAATCACTTAGAAAATAGAAAAGTTCTGTTTTCTTATTGGTTTGTCAAAAATCAGACCAAAATAGAGCATTGAGGTCTTGTAGGCTTTGTGGGCTAGTCACCATTACTTGTAATCAGCTCCCACATATCTACAGCAGTACAGGGTCATATGTATTGTACTCAAGTTCAATAGTAATATTATTAATAACCACTGGTAGTAACTGTAGTCATGGCACAGCATTTGCAGTCTTACTCTGAGATAGGGTCATATTTTGTTGGGCATAAACAGAGTGGCTTATTATTATCTAAAGTTCTTCACTGAATTCACTGATTCATGGATGTTGTCTCTTTGGGTCATCGATATGGGACTTACAAATATATCCTACATGTTAACTTCTGTCAATATAAAAAAGAATAGAAGGACTCTGCCTAAGCTTAATTAATGTCCAGAGAGTGGAGGAGAGGTAGGGTTTTCTTCGTCACAGCCTAACTGATCCAAGTTGAGCTTTACAAACAGGCAGTACCGAGCACCCACAGGGAATGAAAAGGACTCTGTTGTGGAGCAGCTGTAGCCTTCCGTGTCTTTCAGAAGAGACAGTTTTTTCCCAATTCTCTATAATAGCAATCTATGCTAGACCTAGCTGGAGTAGTAGAAAACAGAAAGCCCACAGTTTCAGAATATCAGCTGGGGCAATGAGAGTGGCCTAAGTTCTTCTGTCTAGGTAAGCTTAATTATACCATTGGTGAAACTCGTCAAATGTTTGGAGATATTAAACGCATTTTCCCAAGGAACAAAACCAGAGAAATGCATTTTATTCTTTCTTACAAAGTTTGTGAATCTGTTTTAGGAGAGGGTTAACTGAAAAATGTGAAAAATTTACAAATTTGTCAAATAATTACTGTAATTCTCCTTGACTTTAAACATAGCTCATGTCAATGTGGCTCATTGCTTTTTATGAAATAAGGAAAAATACTGGTTTTTTTCCTTCTAAGTAAGAGAGTGATATAAGTAGTAAGATCGTAGGAAGCACAGAAGGCAGTCATTCTGCTGAACGCTTTGTAAACCTTTAAGAGGAAAACTTCATACTTTATCAAAATGGTGACTAAAGCTGATAAAGACCTGTAGAGATAATTCACAAGAGTGAATGTCAACTTATACACCTATTTCAGAAAGACGAGGAGGAAAGAAAGGGAAGGGGAGGAGGAGCTCTTCTTATGTAAGCAAATAACTTATTGTAGGGCCTTCCCTGTATCAGGAGAAAGACATACCAAAGGGTTTTGGTCCATCAGACTAGAAGTATTAGAAAGATGATGTTTCGTTAGTCTAACTAAAGAAAAAGCCTAAAGACACCATTACGTGCCTGGACATCTGTTGGGCAACACAAACAAGAGGAAAAAAAATGCCTCTGAAGTTCTTATTTATTGTTATAATATTTTCTTTCAAGAGGTGAGAGAAGTAACTGAAGATGGGCTTTTCTACATTTTATCCTGAGGAGTAGAATGTGATCAAGGAAGAAAATTTGCATGAAAGTGATGATGAAATGATGAAATTAATGATTCTTTAGAAAAAAGAGAGGAATGACAACAGAATAAGGAAAATAAATTTGAATATAGGATTGTTGTTATTCATGGAAGGGCAGTTTAAGGGAAAAGGGGATAAAAAGAGTTTGAACTACTACAAACTTGTTATGGCCTTAAAACAAAAAATAAGTGGTCACCCTTTCATGCAGAAGTACAAGATTCTTGTGTAAGAATAATTTATCAATAAGCAGAGGTTGGGAATGACTTTTGTAGGCAGCTTTTTTGCAGAATAGCATCTAGCAGATATACTGGATGGAAAAACTGAGCAGAAGCCAACAATGTCAAACTTCTATGAAAAAAGCATAATTCAAAAAAGCACAGAAAAGTCATATGCAAAACACATGGAGTAATGTTTTCTCTGTGTAGCACTGTTAAGTTCTCACCTGGAGTGCTGTGTCCAGTTTTGGCTATATTTGAAGAAAGATGTGGGTGATAGGAATTACAGAAGAAAGCAAAATTGAAGTGGTATAAAAGACATGACCTCTGAGGAAAGACAGATGGAACTGGGTTTGTTGCAGTGGAAAACATGCAATTCATTTTACAAAACTATGAG